AGTTTTGAATTTGCTATGTACTCTAAATACACACTCTAGCATGCGAGCCCCATATAAAGGCCCAAATAGATGCAGGTATGAGTAAACAACATTTTGACTCAGGTACATCATACATTAGTTGCAGTGTAGTGTTTTCAATACAGAGTATACATCTTGGTTTACCCTCACTCGGCACTTAGAAGCACAGGAATGTATGACTCTTTACACAAAGTAACTTAAAGCTTAGATATGTCTTATTTGGACATATTAAGTTGCTAGTTAAAATTCCTCGACCTAGTGGGGAAAAAATCTGGGCAGAGACTGAGAATTAGTGAGCAATACCTTCCTCTCTCTCAGCAGCTGCTGCCTAAATGCCATCGAGCAAGACATTTAACTCATAATTGCTCCCACAGGGCAAATACATTGCCAGTAGTGGAACACTGTGAGCAGCTCCCACCCTGAATCCATGACACAGACTGAAACAAACAATTAAGGAAAAAGCTAATGTTTCTTGGAATGTTGTTATCTATAGCCGATGCCACAATTACTCATGTAATTAAATATCAGGATAATAATGTCTCAATCAGTCACTAATCAGTGATTGAGAAAACAACTTGCAAGAGCCCTTAAATACCTTTGTGTGCTATTCCCAGAGGACGTGCTACCTTTTTAAGTTATGTGTGCTAGTGATAAGATTGTAGAGATTTTAGTCACTGACCTCAAAAACATGAATTGGTTCAGTTTCACTGACTGAAAACACTTTTTTTTTTTTTAAATAAAGCAAAACCTTTGTTCAATTTAACAAAAATGTATTTAGAAAACTGAGGTCAACAGGGACACGATGGTAAAACAGTACGCACGTGTACGTGAGTGCTAGTGAGTACAGTATCATATCACAACTTATATTAGAGCCTATTTACTGCTGAAAAGTAGGTCAACATGGCCCATAGGCATACCTTCGCAGTGATATATGTCATGGCCTGACAATGATATGGAGCTGGGAAAGGTGAACTATTCCCAACAAGGCACTCCGTCCCTCACAATGACAATGTCAGATATCTTCAAACCGGGCTAATTCAGAGTTCTGCACTGCTGTGGAGAATGAGGCAAAAAGTCTGTAAACACTGTGGATGTTAAAGTAAAATGGAAGAGAGACAAAACTGAACAGAATTAGAAAGAGTATGAGAGTTACAGTAAACTTCCATAAAACCCTCACACAAATACTTTTGTCCAAATGAATACATTAAAGCCACACTATGCAGCTATTATACCTTATATCCTCTGGCTGTTCCGCCTCAACTGTTTGTGATTTACAGAGTTTCCTGATGGACAGAAAGCCAGACGACGGAGGAAGCTAAGAAGAGAAAAAGAAAGTGACCAAGCCGGACGAGACTAAATCTTGAACTGGCTTTTTAGTTGGCTACAGATGGACGGTGAGTTGGTCTTCTTGCTGTTGGACAAGGAAGTAATATTAGCTGGCTTGCTATGTCTTGCACTTGCTTGATGTTTTGCTGTGTTGGCAAAGTTGTCGACTTGCTATTTTTTTATCAAAAGTGATTTAAACATAAGAAATGCACATGAATTGCACGATTTGGGACGCCAAAACCTTGTTGCATAATGTTGCTTCGAACACCAACATTTGAAATGTCAAGCAGATCGAGGCATGAATCTTTACAACTGTGTCTGTGTAAACACATTTCATGTAACTAGTTTGTCCAGGCAGAGCATTTCAAAACAATCTCTAAATCCTCTCATGACAGAAATAACAGGAGGCGAACAATGATGAGAACATTCAGAGTTAAAAAACTGAGGGAGAGTCTATAATTCCCAAACCACTATTCTCCGCTCTGACTCCCACAGCCGCTGGTATTTTGCACCAATATAGACAGGAAACCAGCAGCTTACTGTCCCTGCTCGTCTCATACAGAGGCTCAGCAAAACAATGTGCCCATCAAAACCATGTTGGGTGTTGAAACAACATTCTCAGGCTCTTTTATTAGCTAAAAGAATGATCTGAACTCAGATTGAGTGGTTGTAAAAGGTATAAATCAATGCAGAAAATACTGGGACAGTTTTTAGTCTTTTTGTTAAAATAAATAGATTTATGTTTTTTCACTAATGTAACTATTTTACTCAAAACCGCTAAATGTGTGAAAAATTATCTGAATTACATTGGAAACTACTGAAACTGTCTTACCCTATCAACAAGTTTGTCCAGGAGAGACTTATTCTAAGAAAATATGCATTACCAGACTGGATTCAAGAGAAAAAAAAGTTATTAAGATGCTTGCTTTTACATACTGGAAAAAGACTTTAATGATAAAACCATATTCTTTTTATTAATTGTGTAAAACATTTTATTTTTGGAGTTAATGCTTCCCCTTTTTGATCCCTTACGGGCAAGGCTGAAGGATGACGTCCAATATTCAAAACATTCAACATCTGCTCCGAAATGAAAGGTGATATGGACACAAAATAGATTCTTGCTTCATCTTTTTTCGTGACAGTGCAGGCACTAACTTGTGTGACAGTGCCAAATAGCTGCGGTTTACCAAGTCACAGCTTCCTCCTCCAGTGATTTCCATTCCAAGTTTTGCAACAGGTTCTGCAAATGATTCCCTCCATGTGTTTCCTTGTAGCAGGAAGAAAGATAAACAGATGGTAGTTTAGGTTGTGCAGAGTAGATGGTTGTAAGATAAAAACAAATGGACCACGTTAATAAGGTTTAAACAAGACGAATGCAACCATCTCAGTTTAGCATGTTGCTAATATTAGCTCATTAGCACTACTGAGGGTGACAGGAACATCATTAGTTTAGTCATATAGTCATAGTTTCTAGTTGACTGACATACATGGCTAACCTTTTAAAGAGTTAAGAAAATGTCACTGGAATCTGTACAAAATGTAAATCTTAAAGTCTTATAATTGAACATATTCATGTCAATGTGTTTAAAAGTAATTTTATTCATATCTGTGGTGAAGCAGCAATGGTGGTTTCTTACCATGCACATTGTTTTGCACGTAAAATCCACATATTAAAATATAATTGGACAGTTTTGTCTCATATTAATGGCAGCACACTTCCCTTTTCTGTTTTCGCCTAATGGATGACATCAGCTAGCAACAGTCATAAAGCACAAAATGATCACAAACCCACTGGGGGGAAAACCTTTGAGCCCATAAACAGAGAAACAAACAGCCTTCAAGTCCAGAGATAAGCCGCTTTTCAGTAAATCCTAATGAAAATGGAGCCATAGGGAGATAGAAAAAAAATCAGAGTGAGATTAAGAGACAGAACATGGCGGCCTACATCACTGACCTGGCAGGTTAAAGGGCTGAGATATAGATAGAAGAGCTGCTGTAGCAAACCTATAAACTACAACTTTACAATTATCAGGCTAGTTTATATTGCACTTTGCATTTTACTTATTTCTTTTTTGGGCCTGGTAGGTTTCATATGGACCGTAAAAGTGATTCAAAAACAAGACAAATTTTATAATTAGTAAAAAGAAGACTTTTACTTATTAGACTGGCATTTTCTAAATAAAAGTCTATTTCTTTAAAGATTCTAAGCTTTAATGTAGCAGCAGATAAACGCGGATGCTGCAGATTTTGCTGCAGGGCGGGGGTGTCTGGGATCTGCGAGACATTGTGTTCTTTGCAGTCTGCACGTTTGGACGCCAGTCACAACAGCGGCTCCCCGGGCAGAGGCCTCCCCGAAGTGAACCTACATCCAGCACATGCTCCAGCCGGGCACGTGCACCCTGTCGTCTCCTCAGCCTGACTCTGACAGGGATGCTGAGATGTGACCTGATGTGGTCTGTGCAAATAAACAGCACTGTGATCTGCTTGTGCTCGTACATTTTGTGTGTTTAATAAATGTCGGGAGGATGTCTAAGGAACAGTAGAGGTTTACATTCTTTGTGTGTGTTAATGATTCTAATATACTGCTTTAGGTGCCATGTGCGTAAACTACAAGTTGATTATATGTCTCTGCACTAGAACCACCAGGATCATGTTACATATATTATATATACAGTATACAGGGATGTGTTACTTTCTCCCTTTACACCTTTCCAATGTTGAAATTTGAGGGGCTGTGTCTGAAAATTTCTGTAACTTTAGGAAAACAATCCGACATTCACACACGCTGTGTGGAGGTGTGAAATGAGCCAGGGTTTGAACTCTCTCAAGGTCACTTTTCCCAAAAACAACCGAGTGCAAATGTCTTCCAGGAGAGACTGTACAAAAACGTGCAGCGTTATCCACATGTAGAAATATATCACTTCTCCCTCCTCTCTGGGAGGATTTCTGCTGAGGTGGGTCAGCTAGCATTTAGCACCCAGTGGTGCTGGGTGAACATGTAAAATCACATTGTGTTTTCTATTGCTTGTCTAATGCGTCCGTAAGGTTGTCAGGTGGACGCAATCTAACTTGTTCTTTTGTGGTTTGAGAAACATGGAGATAAAACCCGTTAAGCTTGGTTTATGCTCGACGCAGTGTCCCCTGGCAGTAGGGTGCATTGAGCTTGAGGACTCCACAAGTTGACGTGGCACTTGAATTTTTGGGAGAAAGAGTGAGCTGCTCTTGCTGAGCTTATCATTTCGAATTGGACGTGTTTAAAGGTAGACTGGCCGAGCAGGCTCACCCCTACTGACACCTCTACGTTGACTCAGAATTTTGTTTTAAAAGCCATAAGCAGATAAATTCTTTGCAGCCATAGGGCAGCGAGTGTAGCCATGTTGGATAATGTTGTTCTTCTGGTAACACTTGCTGACTTCTTGCTCATTGTCTCGCATGGGCATAAACAAGGCTTTAGTCTCCTTCTTTTGTCACAATTAATCAGTAGCAGCTCACTCACATGGACTTGAATGGTTTGTTTTTGACGTGGCATTGAATGCTCACAGCCGAGGGCCTCAAGATTTCTCAACCTGTCCCTGAACATAATGGCGAAGGTCACTATCAACTTATGATTTTTAAGCAGTATACTTATGAGAATAGTTCATAAAAATACACATATAAAATATATATTTCTGTCTTTATTGAACACAAAGCAGCAACAAAACATAAAATATGTTCATGTGTGAGGCTCAAACACTTCATCCCCTATGAATAGGGGAACATACATACAGTACTTTTTGACAGAAAAAAAGCAACTTTATAACCTCTACAGTCTGTTGAAAGTGCGAGTATGCTTAATTTTTAGCTGAATCATTTCAAATATCTAAAACAATATTTCTTCATTATTAGACAGCGTTTCAAGAATAAAATATATACTTAACACACAGGATGCGCATTCAGGAGCAACAAACTCTCCCATTGCTATTTAGATTTACAAACTGAGAATATTTCTCATAATTGCTCTTCTGAGAGAGTGTGAAAATTAAAGGCGTCAGTCATCCGAGAATGAGTTTCATTCCTGTTTGTGTTTCTTGTTCACACCTGCAGCTCCAAATTCCTGCATCAGCTTTTCTTTTACAAAAACCTCCTGGAGGCATCTTCACCATCCACAAATCCAGCTCATCTACACAACTTCACTGTTAAGGCCAACTCTCTGAGTGTAATCTTGACACAAAATAAAAAGGGAATGGAGCCCCCACTCCCATCCCAAATAATGATCCTCCTCACCCACATTCCCCACCAATGACCTTATCCCCATCCTTTTGTCTCTGTGGCTGAAAACCAGGCCGATTTTGGTGACGCATCACCGGTTAGCCAATGGGCGCCCTTCGTTTAGGGGTTACGTCCTGGGCCTAGCATCACTGAGAAGGCAAAGTAAGTGTTTTGCCCAGTGATATGCGAGGGGGGAGGAGCTTGTGGCGTGGGCAGCGGGGCACGTGGCGCCCAACGAGGTCTCAGCCTGTCACAGGGCATCACATCAGACAGTGAGCAGGCATGCGCACTTTCTAAACTACACGCCCAGTTTGAGAAAGGGAGGACATGCAGAAAAGTAGTAACCAATCTGCCTCAAACCTGTTTGTGTAGCAGGGGAGGAACATGGGAATCAAGAGTGGAAACATCAAGACATCAGTTTTTGTCACGTTGTCTCACACTTACTGATGTACCCAGTGTTATTGAGGGAATAGAAGTCTACAAAACATGAAGCATGCTCCATGTAGATTCATGGAGCATTCATGTGTCTTCAAGTGACAAAAATGGCTGCTATTTAATGATCAGACAGACCTCGCCAGAAAGAGACATTGCATTAAGGCATATACACAAGCTAGCCAACCGAACTCATCCCTGCCCTCTTCCATCATCCCATTTGTCTGGAGTTTTAGAACTTAAAATCAGAACTCTATCGGTTGTCCCTTTGAACACACGCCCCATAGTAACACAGTATAGAAGTCAACAGAAAACTTGACATTCAGGGTCTACCTGGAGCTAAAAGAGTTGCTGAACATGTTCTTAGACCTTAATGTTCATTCCTCACATACCTACTGCCCATCAGAAGACATTTATGATCGAATGCCTTTATTGCATGGGATTCCTTCTCTCATCCTCAAACACGACCATCTTACACTACCACGTTTTCGTAAAAATCACTATAAATTCGGGCTTGTGTGTGCAGAGGGCACACACACAATTAAAGGGAATTAAAGTGCTACCACACGTAACGTGTGCATCAGACCGACCACTTCCTGGCGTGTGCAGATGACACCACAGATTTTCTGGGGCAGGAAATACTCTGCAGCTTCCAGTGCCAAATACACTACTCATACTCAACTCAGCAACGGTTTCAATTTGTGGATAAAGTTTTTGATCAAAAGGAATTATATTGCAGTATTTTAAAATGTAATCACTAAAACATCCACTGTTCATATTATTCAAAATATTCACAGCTTTATTAAATCATTACAAAATAAAGTAATACATTCATTTATCAATAAAAACAAGACAGACTCATGAATTGTGATTTGATTAAAAGTCTGCACACCCATGCAATGTTGAGTAAAGTTAAATGTTTGCATTGACATGTAGTAGATACTGCAGGAAGGGTTCTTAACCAGGGTGCTTATAAAGGTAGTCACATCTTATTAACAGGACTTCATAGATTTGTTAAAACAGTGAACTCACAAAAGAAAAAACAAAAACACCATTAAAAATAGGTAGTGAGTAGTCCCTTTGCAGATCTATTGCATCTGAAATCATTTCTGCACTAGTGTGCAATTATTCACAGAATCTCTGCCTCCTGAAATATTTCACAGGTAAATATACTGACAGTTTGTGAATACAGCTACTGATCTGTTTGCAAAGCTCTGCACGTTTCTCTCGTGAGGGAACAAAAGAAAAAAGAAAATAAAGAAAACCTAGGAGGGTTAAACTAACTTTTCATCCCCCTTGAACTATGTCCTGGGCCTGCCATCACTTCATTACAAAGTACATCTCAATTGCAGTCAGGCATCCCTTAAAATGCATTACTGCTCAAACTATTTACCCCCCATTTGGACAAGCTTGGAGCAAAATTCACAGTTATTTAAAGAAGGTTCTCCCCCCCGTTTTTCTAGCTTAGAACAGTATTGACAGCATCTTGCAAGAATGTACCTTTGTAACAACTAATTGGCAGACCCAGTTGGCAGTCAGCTTTTTTTGATCACCCACCCAAACCGGTCTGTAAAACCAGCCCTATCCATGACCCCCAAGTGAGCCATCCCCAAAAACCCCCTCAAGGTCCAGACAACAAAAAGTACAGAACACAGCCGTGCAGCAGAAGCTATGAAATCTCTGCGCAGATTCGGTGTCTGAGTGTGAATATGACTGAGGTGAGAAAAGTGTGGTCCTGGAAGACAACGTCGTGTCTCTGCTTCTGCCCCCTGCCTCCACCTCCTTCACATCTCATTGGCTCATCCATTATCTCCATGATCAGAGTAGTCGAATCTCTTCAGGGCCCAGGCTGGACCTGGACCTTCTCCGTCATCTGTTTGGCACTGTAGTAGGACAAACTCAGGCCCATGATGGCCAGCATCATGGCTATCTGGTTGACCGCACGGTCTTGAGGCTGCGTCTGCACCTCACCCGCAACTTGCCTCTGCAGAGACAAAAAAAGCAAATAGGACAAAGGTCGGAGGTCAGCAGTCAGTGGAAACACTGAGCTATTCAGGACAAGTTTCAGCAAACATTCCCCAAATATTTTGTCCCAAGAGGCTTCTCTCCTTAAAACCTGTAACATCTGTCTGCATTTTTAGTACCACAGGCCTCTGCCATGTGACCAAACATTTGGCAAGAACAGTTATTAAACATTTAGGAGGGGACTTTAGTAAAAGGGGAACACAATGTTCTGTGCACAAAGAGTATAAAAAAGGTGCACCCAGAATCAGACAGCTTGTATTGCATAGAATGAGTGCCCACATTAGGTCGTGCCTGGTGTTTGTGGTTTCTAAATGTACAGCTTCTCCTTGCCCTCTATGACCCATTTAGGGCCTGGAGCAGTGAGACAGGAATGTCAAGGCTCAGACATCTGAGATGGCGGCTCATACTCCAGAATACCCCCTTCATTTAAAGAAAGTATACATGCTACACACAGACTACATTCGTGTTTTGATTATATTTGACTAGTGTGTTTAGAGCCAATGGTAGGTTTGTACACTATTTAAAAAAGGCATTTTTGAGCACTTTGATTATGGTTTTATTTTATGTATATTGCGGTAAACAAGGAAACAAATCGAAGTGTGCCAGAAACACTTTACCATTCTCACTTTTTTGCAGAACTTTAGCAAACATTTTTCCTATATTTAATGGCTTACAGAATACATTTTACCATAAGTTTAAATCTTTGTCAAGTCAAACCAGAGACCTATCTGTTCTTGCATGCAAAATTTAAATCCACTGTAAAAATGTAGTCCTTGATAGTAGAACCCCCACCAAAACTACACAATAACAAAGAAAAATGTACTGTTGCACCAATGTGTCAGAACGCATGTACCAGCAAGTCACTTTTCTCTGGTCTGTTGAACTTTTGAATCAGTGTAAAGCCATATGAGGGGACACCCTTTGTTTCCAAATTAGTGTAAATATGCAGACAAAGACTGTATAGTCTCGACATATGGAGGGTCACTACCGATGAGTGGATTATAAGTGGGAGGAACAAAAGAAACCGAGGAAATGATATCACAATGATTAGTGTCACCCCTAATTATATTTGCAATGAAAGCGGATTGTGGTACACAGAACAGCTCTGGGCCCCTTCTCTGAAAGCGGTTCAGATTAGAACCAGTGTTAATGCTGATATACGCAAAGGATAGAGTTAAACTGATAAAATACAAAACTGATCAGTGCTCAGTGTTCATTTGTAAAGTGTGGTGAAGCTGCACATACCTGGAGGAGGCGGAAGTATCCAGGTGTCAGCCTGCCCAGTCTGATGATCATGTCTGTTGATGTGGTGTGAGGTGGGTCTAAACAGAGGGAAGAGCTGGGGTGGCTCTCAAGACCTGCATCAAAAAGAAGGAGAATTCACTTAGTAACTGCGCAACAGTTTGACAGTAAAACACTAACCAAGGATAAAGTTAACATAGATTTACGGTTACAAACTAAAATATCCACCAGAAGTGACCGGGAGTTGCAGCTCCAAAACATGTGAAAAATATGAAAAAGTAAAAGTAGTATTTCTAGTTCTGTCTTGAGGGAGATGAATCCAGCCAGAAGTCAGTTAGATACAACTGACTTTGCCTGTCAAATGTCAGTGAGGTTTTGAAAAAGTATTGCTGTCAAAAGAGGAAGAGAACATTGCAGTTGGTTTGCAAATAAACCAAAACCATCTGATCAATGCATGAGGAAGGAACATCTCTCGCCTGCAGCCATGGCACGAAACTTGTGTGCAGATCCAATATGAACCCCATGCAGAGAAACCCAACATATAAGTGCCTATATCAGATGTTTCACATGTGGATTTATTTTAGATCTGACCCATTTGGCACCATTTCCACCTTGAATGCCTCCAAAATCTCTCCGTTATTAAATTATTTTTTAACCAAACATCTGAACCAAAGCAACAGAGCATCTATTCATGCTGCGTCATAAACTGACACAGCAGAGAAAAAGAACAATTTCATTCATTCACGCATGGACAATCCCATGTGTAATTGATTAAGAACGTGGCGTTTCATATAAATGGGACATAATTGTTGACAAAGAACACCAAAAAAGAAAAAAAAAGCACAGGGAGGATGTCCATCCAACCATGCCTTAAGAACAAATAGTTAAAGCCAAAAGTTAAGATCTTCATACTATACAAACTAGATTGTCTCTACTGGCGCAAGGATGGGAAAAGGGTCATCTCAAAAGGCATCCCAGAAAGACTAGAAGCAGAAAAGGTTGTGCATTACAAGATATACACAGCCATAAACAACCAGGGAAATCACTTTCAGCTGGGATTGACCACTGCATTTGGGATCAAGGTTCCAGGGAAGGTGGAAGGAGGAGGATTGTGGAGCAGGTAAAAAACACATATGAAGCATTAATGTGCCAACCTGGTTAGAGTTACACCCCTTACGAGGAAAGTAATCCCAGCTTTTTAAAAAGTTGCTCCTGGTCTGACAAGTCGGTCTAATTCGTGAAAACCAATAGCTTGTGATTCCTCACCTTCCAGAGGCAAGGAAAAAAAAAAAAAAAAACTGAGCTGGGACCCTCTACTTCCCAGCCACACTGAAAATCTTAAACAGATGGCAAACAGAGTGATGAACTTGAACTACTGAGAGAGCTTCTGCGCTGCGCTCCGCCTTTTTATACAGCCCCGCTCTCACCCAACCAGATCTGCGGGATCGCATGCAACACACACACCCACTCTTGAACACATCACCGCTGTCGAAATGCATTACTCTCAGTGGGTCGCCTTTCCCAAACACACCCCTTCCAAAACAAGAAAAACCCTTTGTGAATTGTCGGATGTGATTAGCTCAATTAGTCAACTCAAGGTAAAACAAAAACAGTACGGCGTGACAATGCGTTCTTAAAGCAGCATGCATGTTAAAGTGTCGGATTACATAAACAGCCTAAGTGTCCATTTAATCTGAAGATGGAGCAGAAATTAAATGTCACAGACCTCAGGCACGTCCATCATGAACCTGACAAACATTAAAATTAGAAACACGGGACAAGAGAGTTCCTCTTTTTAATAAGGAGCTATTTTAGTTGTGTTTTAATTGCTCTTATTGTTGTCTGTTATATAATCTGTTTCCATTTAAATGAACAAAGGGCTGCAGTTACTCTCCAGGGACCTTTGAATGACTGAGACACACCAATGTTTACTTCATGCAATGAGAGTTTTTAGAGTAGACTAAAATCTACTGCACCTGTTCTTTGTTCGAGTGTTGCAACTGAAATACACCATCAAAAACAGGGTGGCATCGGGATATTTGGGCTTTCTTCCAGTGAACAGTTTGATATACATAAGCAGATACAAGTCACACCTTGAACAAATACCACAAGAATGTGGCTCAAACTCAAACATTCAGCTCCAAATTATTAGACAAATGTCTGAATAAGGACATATTGTTGCAAAACACAATACCTTTTATTTAAAATGGTACTTTTTCCTGTTCGATCTTCTTTGTTTGCCAGTTAGCCGACTGCATACACACTGCAAGTCAGCTCAGGTTTAACCTGCTGTAAACTTTTAGTTTAACCTTTGAAAAGTTTTATAAATATCCTCTTTAGCTCTAAATGGAGTTTTAGAAGAATTGATGGGGTACGTAGGATCCAGTGTTTTTAGAGCTTGACCATTACTAGGGACTAAAAGTAAAAGACAGGTTACCCTCTGCTGCTTCAATTTTAAAAATATTTTTAAAGGCTGTTCAACTATATGGAAGTGCAAAACTAAATAGTATTATTCACTTTGGATTTTCTGTCATCGCCTTTCATAGTTTACCATTTTTATGTGTTCAGCCATACTGGGCATCACTCAAGTATCCAACTTGTATATTCCATTTCTGACTAACAGGATTAACTGTTATTGTTGTTATTTATTATCTAAACGTAAAAAATATTGAGTCACCATTGCAATAATCTTCAATACGCAGTATGGAAATATTGGGAACTTGGTAACTGTGTTCAGCCTCTAACAGGGACTGAAACTAATGTCTCAAATATTTGCAGCATATCACGCCAAGATAATCTTAATCTTCACGAGTATAGGGGACAAGAATCAATAGTCACCAGTCTGAATGCAGAAAACCATTACCAACAGCTGAGTCAGTGTGTAGGAGTGGTTCACTACATGCTTCAGCAGGAGCCCAGGTAAATTTCTTGCAAGCTATTCAGGTTTATCTGAGGCATGTTGTGAAAACAAGAGGGCGTTTCCTCATTTGCGTAACACGTGACCACATTTTAAAATACCAGCTGTGTACAGACTCAATGAATGACTGTGTAGTAGGCAATGCTGACACACACCATGTGGATTGTATGCCTACAAATCTAGGACAAATACTTATCTAAATGAAAAGGCTTTTTTAATTTTCAGTAACATAAGCCTGTAATGGCAAAGAAATGTGTTACCTTTTCCATCAGGGAGAGGCTATGGAAACACAAAGAGTGTTAGGCCTGAATTAATTAAATCTCTCCCACAAAAATAAATAAAAAACAACCCCTGAAGGATGTCAATCAGCATTAGAGTCACACATGGACCAGGTCCCTAACATTTGGGAACATGGTGTACTTAATCCAAACCAGCCAATGAAATATCATCAGCGCTCCTTGCCTCCTCTTGGTCCCGCCTTCTCATGTCACTTTACTCCCCTCCGCCTACAGCTGGGGATCTCCTGCGAGAGAGCGTGGACAATAGTTGTGTGAAAGACTGAGGCATCAGCTGCTGCTGCAGAGCTATCGACCAAGTCAAGCTCTCCTTTCACGCAACAGCAGCTCAGGATTACATCATCATCATCATCATCATCCATCTGACTGTCTAGTTGTGCAATCGCCCCACGCCACTGTCTGGCCATCCTCCACATTCATGACGATGGCATGTACACGACTGTTACCATGATTGCTCTGTGTCAGCAGGGTGGTTTTGCTGTGCTGTACACTCAGGATTATGTGATGTGATGCTGTAACTGAGCAGAAGCCTATTCATGCCTTTAAAAATGAAATGTTAAAAAAAATTCCATCATTGCAAAAAGACATTGTGTTGTTAAACACTGTTGACACCCACATCCTCTGCAATTTAATGTCCAGTGTGTAGTAGTGTGTAGTATTCAGCGCATCTAGTGGTGAGATTGCATACTGCAGCTAACTGAAACCCCTTGACTCAAACTAGTGTATAAGGGAAACTACGGTGGCCGCATAGCTCACAAAAAATGCGAAAGGCTCAGTCAAGAGCAAGTGTTTCATTTGTCTGTTTTGGGTAGAAGGATGGCGGACTCCGTAAAAGAAGGACTCCCTCCCTCTGTACACTCATTACAGTTCAGTTTAAGGTAACAAAAATACAATGATTATTATTTTCAGGTGATGATACACTAATGGAAACATACCTGTGATTAATATATTCTATTTCTGCCAATAGATCCTCCGAATTGTCGCACACTGGACCTTTAATCAATTATCAAAATAGTTTTAATATTCTTTTGATTTACTTTGATGTTTCAGTTCTAAAGAGAGATATGTTTTCATTACGGTGTCATGTAAAAAGGCAACTTGGTTACAAGCTTCAGTGGACCGAGCACATACAGGTATTCGGTGTACAATGAAGGGAACAAACTGCTTTTCTTCTAGCGAGTTAAGGGACAATTAGGGGGAAGGTCAAAAGGTTCATACAAAATCATTTTTCCATTGGTGGCCCATGCAGTCAAGGTGTACATGACAATGAAACACAAGACACAGCCTCCATTTTGGGCCCCAGCTATGAAGACACCAACATGGCCGACCAACAGAAACAAAAACAAAAATAGTTGAATTTGGGGAGAGTGACTGATTGCAAAATTTGTCAGTTCTCAGACTTGTTAGTTAGCATTAAGTTAAACTGCTACCAACCACCAACTGTTAAGAAGTCACCCACTGAGAGCTTGACACATGAATGTAAATCTAATCAAGGAGAGAAAGCGACCCAAAAGGTCCAGACACCAATCCAGCCTGATCTGATATGCAGATGACCAAACAGTACAAGCAAATAAATTACAATACATTTTTTTTTTAAAAAAAGCAATTTAAATAAGTAAAATAGCAAAAATCTTTGTCCAAATCAAATTAAAAACCAAAAATTAATCTACATTCAGTTTTATCTTGTCACTGTCAAGCTCAAACTGGCTGCGCTTCCAAGAAAACACCATTGAAGGAGAGGGTACAACACTGCCAGGGTACAAAATGTACAGATGATATACCATCCCCACACGCACTCTGCACAAAGGTCACACTGCAGACAAACTGAATGCAAATAAAGCATTTTAAGACAGGTCAACATTTGCAGGATTTTAAAGATGCAAAAAGCAACAAGACATAAGCCTTTTCTTCCCCCCCACAAGTTCAGCTCATTCTTGCAATTTTCACTACAAAAACCTTCATTAACGACCAAATTCTGGAGATTACACATGAAAATTGAACAGTATTAATACCAAATAAACAGCCACCATGCCAAATTAATTAAATAAAATCCTGTTTCATCAGTGGGCGTAAGGACAACATGTTCATGAAAAGTACAATGCAAATCTTCAATTGGTCCCAATAAGATGCACAATATGACAAAATAAGCTCAAGTCATAGGCTATAATGTTTGCATTTGAGAATCTCTATTAATCCAATTATTCAACTGGTGAATGGCAAACCTCTTAAACGCATATCATCATTTGAAGGGAATTTCTCTTTAAAATGCGATAATTACAGTCCACCAACAAAAGCCGACACCTTATTCCCAATTATTTACTCATCTAGTTAGTTTTCAAACCTCAGCAACACCTAAAATATCTCTCCAAACAACCAATCATCAAAACCAGCCAAACAAACATTCATGCTTAAAAGTACAAAAAAAAAAAAAAAGAAATTAACAATATTCTGCATTTATGAACACGTGGCCAATCTCAAAATGCATTTAATGCAAGTTTTAAATAAGAAAAGAAAACTGACAAAGAAGCCACATGAACACATACTACAGAGACAATCGGGCACTTTTCTGGTTTTTTAAACCGGAGCTTTAACTGTGGCAACCCCCGCTGCAAACGCTTCTTCATTTAAGGTAAAAAAAAATAATTTAAAAAGTAGTAGTAGTAGTTGAAAGTGCTTACCTACAGCTGCACTGGGGTTCTGGGTTGGGGTTTTTTGGGGGGACCGGTTCAGTCTGTGTTGGGATGAATCGCACACTCTGTTCACGACGTAAAGCCTTTATAGGAGGACACCGGGGCATGTTCTATATGTACAGGGGGGTGGGGCACTCCGAGGCTTGCAGCACACACAAGGCATGCCAGGGTGCATGTGAAATACATGGACCCCTACAACCGGGAGGAATGAGCTCGTCCACTCTTTGTGCTCACGTGAACTGTGTGCTGGAACATTTTGTCTTCATCCTCCATTGGGTTTTTTTTTTTTTTTTTTTGTCATTTGTCGTGAATTATCAACACAAATGATAAAGACAACCCGTCGTGTATACTATGGAAATATGTCCTAAATCCACTTGTGCTGGTTGCTCTTTGGAATAAAGTGTCTATGAGGTGTTTGGCATTGCTTGGCCACTCTGTTAGTATGAAATGCTGTTGGACTAAAATGCATTGTTTGTGCTCTAGGAAGGTGATTCAGATTGGTTATATCTGCAGATGCACAGAAGTGTTTGTGGTGCACATTTGATTTGAGGGACATTTCCCAGAGTTCATAACATATTTGCATCAGTTGAGATTGAAAATTCATTCTTGACCTTCAAAAACTCTAAAAAAAACCCCCCGATGTGATCATATGAGAATATATTGGTAGAAGTATGTTTTCATTAGTGTGTAATCACCTGAAAATAAGAATCCTTATGTTTTTGTTACCAATGAGCCGTCTCTATCTGCAGACGCAGTTGGGTCGCCTTCCTTGGAGGCGGCCATGTTGAACCACCATGTTGCGTTTTGCGGCCACTGTAGTTTCTACCCCGCGGCAGGAAATGGAGGGTGACACGAGGGAGTTGCAATCTGCAACTACACTGCTAGATGCCACAAAATCCTACGGACTGGACCTTTAAAAACCAGGATACATATTGTAACCCACATGTTCGCACAATCTTCCTCAGCAAACTGAATTGCCCAGTTGTCACATTCAATTACGTAAATTTTTTAATTTTCTCTGATCACTTTAAATGACTTCTCGTCCACATTGGCTTAAATACAGTTTCCTTCTATTTGTATCTTTCAAGGTAATGAAATTAAATTGATGAGAGAAAATGGAAATTTCCCAAATGTATCTAAAATAAGTTAGGTAGTTAGTTCATCCTTCACCTTACAAATATAAAAACAATCTCACCACATGGTCCACTTTTGAGCACATCACACAATCTTCATCAACCTTGTTGCCCAGTGAGTGTCAAACTGTGGGGCGCTCCCCCCTGGTGGGGCGTAGAACCGGTGCAGGGGGAGCGTGGATGAGAGACGGAAACATATAGTGAAACTAAGTTGAAGGAATATTAATTTGTAGGGAAAATAATCAAGTGCTTACTGATGCTATCATGTTTACCTTTATCTCACTAAAGTTCAACTTGGATCCTTTTGCATTAGTTTTCTACCCTATCCTTTGTAAGGATGGAGAAAAATTGGGGTGGTGGGGGTGGTGAACTTTTATTGACACAGCAGAATAAGTTTGTGAACCACTGAGTTATCCCATTATCATGGAAATATATAGAAGTTGCTCTAATTAAATTCTTTTTCTGAGCACCTTACAGAGGTTTCTGCTTGAAAATGTGACATTAAACCTCCTTAACGATTAAATAAAAAACAATGGAAAAACTGTGGGGTGGCAGCGGCTCAGCATTGAGGTTGTCAGCTGTTCACGTCTCTGTGTGGACAAGATGCTGAACCCCAAATGGACTCGTTGCACTGCAGACATTTTGACTTGTCAAAGCCAGAAAAACACAGGTGGACTTAATTATAGTAACGATGACTCAGTTCCATTCAGTGTCCCAGTAGCAGTGACATTGAAACCAGCATGCACAATACCAGGACCTCCCCTAAATGGAATGCAGCTATCATTAATACACCTGTGAGTTTCCTGCTATTAGACGCCGAAATGTCTGCTGTGTAAACAGTTCATTGCTCCCGATGGTCAGTTGAGAGTATGTGTGAACAGGTGAATGAGAGAGTTTCATATGAGCTTCATAAGCCTCATGTTTGTTTGTATTTAATCACCTACAGTGTTGAGATAAAAGAGTTACTGGGTAAGATGGATGGTTTCCATTGAGACATTAACACACAAAATAAGCAACAACAGTTTCCTGCATTATACACCAACCTGTGCCCACCCACACCTCATTGTGTATTGCTTTTTTTCCCAAATAAAAACATTACATTTGACCCATAATTTGAACATTAGTGTCACTGATAATCATAACTGGATGAGAAACCAGTATCACTTTTACCCGAGGCAGATAAAATATTTAAACCAGACAGGAAAAAAGATTTAAATTTAGACATATTGTGAATGTGGCTGAAGAATCCCCCTCCATCCTTTTGGTTGGGGTCAGCAGACTCGTATGCATTCCTGACGTGAGAGAAAATAGTTGGTGTCCTCCACACTGAAGCTACACATACTGCATAGCACCATAAACACATAGTTTAAACCAGTTAACTGCTATGTCACTACCTCCACATGTAGTAAATCTTGGGGGGGGTGATACTAGGAGGAGTCTAGGAGGATATCTGGTCCGTGTTGGCTTAAAAATAATCTCCTTTAATATCAACAGAACTAACTAACTAATAACTACTGAGTGTAACTGTTTTTAGTATTGATTTTCATCATATATTAGTTAACCTGTATGTATCCTAGCTCTGTTGCGATGCAGCCCCCTCTCTGGCTGTGTCACCCCTGACATGCTTCTCCTGGTGTCACCTTTCCCCCTCCAGCTTTACCACATGTGGAGTAACATAACATTTAACTGATTTACGATATGTGTTGGGCTTCATACTTTCTCTCCTTGTTTAGGAATGCGTATGAACCCACTGACCCCAACAGGATGGAGGGTGTCGCTGCAGTCAGCGAAACTTAGGCGATAAGGTTTTTTCACCCGTAGTCCCAATAAACTTTATATTTCAATACCTAAATGCCAAGATAATTTACAGAAGGGACCTTCAACTAAAAACATGTTAACATAATAATAATAATAATAATAATAATAATAATAATAAGTTAGTGCTGCAGCTCTCTACATACAAAAACACATCTCACAGTGACGTCCACTCATTGGCTGTCCCTGAGCTTTTGATCATATCATATAATCTTCCTCAGCAGATGGAGTTTTCCCAGTTGTCATTAAAATGATGTTAAATGTTACATTTTATGAGCACTTTAAGGACTTCTCATCTATGTTGTTTTATGACTGAGATTGAAAATCTACCTTTCTATGACAACTGGACAAACATCTGATGAGGAAGATCATGGGATTTAACTGAAAGCTCCTCCTAAGTAGACCTTTGCGGTGAGATTGGTGTGACTGAACAGTTTTTGTCAGCTAAAGTTAAAAAAAGGGTAGCTAATATAAAACTAAACTAATAATAGAATAGACAAGAATAGATCTAAGTGTGCTGACAATAAATATTTTCAACTTGATTAACAAAGCTAATGTACAACAAAAAGAATAATAAAAGATTATAGTGCATTAAAATAGTTAACATTGAGACACTAACACACAAAATAAGCAATAAGTTTCCTGCATTATATATATACCTATACCTCATTGTATATTGTTTATTTTCCACAAAAATAGATTACATTTGACCCATGATTTGAACATTAATGTCACTGATAATCATAATTGGAGCTCACAGGATGTTAAATACACCCACAAACATCAGCATACTCAATAATATGAGCAAAGGTTTCAAAAACAAACGCGTCATATTTGACCTACTGTAGTTTCCCAGGCTGTAGCGCGCTGAGGGAGACACCCGCTGGAATAAAGGCAGATATCCTGTCTGTCTGCAGCGGTGTGACACTGCCCCCTATTGGTAGAACTGAGCAAAGACACGGAGGGTGTTTTACAAAGCTGGTCAACAATGCACTTTTAACTCAAGTACTGATTACTGAGGTATTTCCACTACCTTATGATAATTATAACTGATGATGATGATTATAATTAATTAACTTTTTACTCATTTTCTTAGTGTATTGGTTTTTAACCTACTCCATTATTACAGAGGGAAACGTTGAACTTCAGCATCTCTACTGTCAACGTGTTGGCAGAGTATAAATGGAAATAAGTTAATAAAATATGATGCATTTAAGTACCCAGCAGCACCTCATCCATCAGTAAATTAAAAGACCGTTCTCCAGCATCAGTGCAGATTGTTGCTTATTTCCCACTACTGTTATTTTACCAGTGATGATTCAGATGCAGGGTCTTTTCGCTTTTATCCAGTTTAAAGATTTACTGAATTTACAATAAAGTTTAGTTCCTTTTATTCAACTTGCCTCCATAATCCGGTGCATTTATAGGTATCCATATAGCACAAACCCACTTAAATTTAAGATTATGTCAGCTGACCCAATATAATATTGACACATCAGATTGTGGAAAATGCTGTAAAAACTCAACCTACAGCCACTAATCTCCGCAATAAGGAGAATTACCTTAAAATGGATGCCCTACCAAGATGGAGTACGCAGTTAGTTTGAGGATGACAGTTGTTGTTTAAGATCAGTATCACACCATAAAGGCAGACTGGGATTGTCTCTGCATGTCTACATGAAACATGGCCACCTCATTTTTTTCCCCCTTTTACTTATTTCCTCCACGAGGCTTTAACATCACAAACAAGCACCAAAGACATTTTGACAATTTTTATTCAAGAACATTTAGATCAACCATTGAAGTCAGAAAAGCGTCCTTTTCCCCTAACAGAAACATAACTTAACATAACTTTTCATCAGATGACCGGGTTCACATCATACGTTTTTTGGGATGTATCAAACTTTTGACCTAATAACAGTATTTTTCTGTGGCATTTTCAATGACTAGATCTCATGTCAACATACAGTGTTTCAAAACATTTGGTAAGCAATTTTTTTTTATTAGTTAAACATTAAAATACAAGGAGATAAAAGGCTAAATTCCTATTCTTCCTCAAATTTTAACAATATGCTTTAGCTGCCTTATAATGTTCAAAATTAGATTCAAAATCCAACTTGTTGGAAAATATCTATTACTCAGCAGTAAAAACAAAAAATAAAACAAAACAAAAAAGAATTAGACTATCTAAAAATGCCACGTCTACAAGATATGGACGGTAATCATTTTAAAATGGATATGAATGTGACAACAAAGTTTTGTTACATCAAGTGCAAGCCCAAAACAAACCTATAAATGACATTTGTAATATAAAACTTGGTAAAAAATACTTATTTAAAACTGTACAATCACCAAGTACACAGAGTGAGCACATGAACCGTTATTCATTTGGCGTCAGTGGCTTCAGCCTTTGGCTCCTGGGGACAAAAACATAAAAGTAGCACGGTTACAGTACATGCGTTGGTTATTCTGGCAGCAGGACAGTACATTCCCCTCTACTGTGGTCATCATTAGGATTTCATCCATTTGATTATATTTGGTACATTTTATATTGGTGTCTGGAAGTTTCATTAAATCGGACACAGCTATATGTAATTATTATATTGTAATCATAAGTTAAACACTTGTGCTTTCAAATTAACAGCTGAAATGTAATAAAAAAATTTAATTATTGTAATTAAAGGGAACCAAATTCAATATGTTTTTACAGCTACGTCCTGAAGCGTACAATTACTGAATTAATTCCTTCATATTATTACATATAGCTTTTTTGACATTATTGAGACATAAATTATAAACGTTGTGTTCTGCTAACATGTCCACATTAATTATTTATTAGCACAAATTACCTGCTAAAAAAATAGGAAATATTATGTTGTGTAAGATTTGTATTGAAAGAAACCAACCTCAGCCTTGGTGCTCCCATTTTCAGCTTGTTTGGGCTTCTTTGCTTTGGGTGCCCTCTAAAAAAGAAACGACAAGACACTTGATTAGTAACAGATTAAAACTTTTCCAGCTGGCATACAATGTGTCAGAATAAAGAATAAAATCAAGTGTACTAAAAACATCTAAACTGATTCTCAAATAAAAAGGTATTTTCCCCAGACGCCTTGGAACGGGGGCAAACTTAATTTCCCTTCAAGGAACTCGAGGCCACGAATCAGTTTCACATGTGACCAACAGAGATGTTCTGTTGAGTTTAAACTTTGTGTTTTCAGTTTCACACCTTTGCAACAGCCTTCTTCTTCTCCACTGCTGCAGGTTTAGGTTTCTGCAAAAAAAGACGTAAGATATGCATCAAATGGTGTGTAACGGTTGATTACACAACAGATTTATAGAGGTTTTATATTGTAATCACAAAAGAGGATCTAAAAGTTAAGTGTGAGGTTTTGATAAATATAGCATGGGTGTGCAGTGTAAATAGACAGCATGGTGGGGTTATGCATGTTTCAATTTCATGGTTCAGTTAATCCTGTTAGCGGACAACTAACTTTTGGACGAGGAACAAGAATATTGACAAAGCAAAACAGCAGTCCTGATTAACTGCGTTTCTAAAAAGCTTACCTTCGCCAGTCGCTGGGAAGTTCTTCTTTCCTATTAAGATAAGACAACGAAAATCATCAGTGATAATTCCAGATGTAATTTATGTCAAAATTACTTTAAAAAAAAAAAAACTTTAAAAAAAGTAAAATTATACTAACAAAGGCAGAATTTAACCACAAACTATCAGGCTATTTAAAAAGGTAAAATACACATCTAAATTACTTTATGATAACACATAGCTGTACAACATTCTTGCAATAATATCAATATAATACTAAACAAATTGTATCATATCAAGTTATTATTATTTATTTTTTTACAAACCTCAGGGGGAGTGCTTTTCTGAAAGACAAAAGAAAAGAAAAAAACAATATTACAAATTTGAACACCACTATTAAAAAACATGACATCTCATAACAACTCAAAACAACAAAACTATAGAGTATCAACATCTCTGCAGACATGATCTTGCACCAGCATAAAAACAAACACAAGACCTGAAGGACTAATTAAGAAACTAAATTTTTTTCTAAAAAAAAGGTTTTCCCGCCTATATTTGAATTCAAATTTGGGCTGTCCTGTCACCATGACAGCGCCTTGGCGCCTTGACAGCTTCCTTTGTTTTGTATCAGTGCGCGCCGACAGACAGCTGTTGGGAAACTGATAAGATTACTACTTTACTAATCTGTAGCTACCGCCATATTATGTATGCAACCAAGAGCAGGCCTGCAGAGATTGCACACCGATTAAAATGACATTTCAGTTGATATTTTAGACAGAAATCTAAATAAACCCTCTTATTTTTTGTAGCATTATTTTTTTCCCCCCAAAATTTGATGTATTTTTTAAAAATACCAAACAAGCCGCTACAGGACTGGGATTTTCCACACGCTGCAGTAACTTTAATCCAAATAAAAACAAAAAATATTCACCATGATACAACCCTTATCAAACACTTAATACCGCTAACATTTGTTAAATCACCCATAATGTTACGCAGCGGTGTAATTTACAGCAATGCCACGCTAATGAGAGTTTTAACCATTGTTAATTACATTTTAAAACTAAACCCGTTTTGAATCAACATGCATGAACAAGCCTCGACTTTTCTTATTCAAAACAGTGAGAGGAAGAAGAAGAAGAAGAGAAAAAATTGCCACCTCCCCTCCCCCAACTCCTTCCTCAAATGTTGCAGGTTGTGCTTGCTTGAACTTATTTTGATTGCTCAATTAAAAAAAAGAAAAAACCCCCACCACCATTCTCCCTTTTACACGGTTAATCCAGCACACAACTTATGCATTCAGCGACACATTTACAGCGTGTATTGGAAGTTTGTTATTGCGTTTAACCTGTCAATATTTCCCCTCCTCCTCCTCCTCCTCCTGTTAAAGAGGGAAAAGACGCCCAATGGTGGCCAGACATTTTGCAAACGCGCAATATCAACGTTTGCACTCGTCCCAAAAAGAGCTTTGGCGTCGGGGAGGGGGGGAGAGAGAAGAAGTGAAAATAAAACTGCACACGGTAGCAACCGCGTTTAACAAACTGGGAGACATTTCACGCTTCTAGCTGGGATACAAAGTGTTTTATTTTCGACGAACGGGAGGGATGCCTCTCTTGTTTGGGGACCGCCATGGCTGCTAACGTTTGTTGGGGATGATGACGTTCCTCTGATGCACAAATATCAAACGCAGCCCAACGTTCGCCTCAACTTACCGTCACGAGCACGATGCATTTGAGTTTTTTGTTTTTTTTTAAATAAATAAAATAAAAAAATAAAAAACAGTAATAAAAAATTCCCTTACCTTCGTTTTAACCATGTTGCTGACGGGGATGAACTGAGAGCTCACAAAGATATAACCGTAAAAAACGGGGCTGCTTTTTTTTTTTTTTGCTTTCCGGAGAGATAACAACACGACAACCGACCAGTTGCTGAGTAAAATGGCGAATGTATAATGCAAACGAATGTTTTTGTAGTTTATACACTGAAATATAAGAACGAAACCGGTTTGAACCAGTTCTGTATTTCCATGTCTCTCATTGGACGAGAGGGGCGTCACGTGATTACAGGCGCCACCCATTTGTTAAAGAGGCAGGAAACAGCCTGGGGAAAATACTCACCAGGGCCGCATGGAGGCGCTGTATCAAAGATTTCTCGTTAATCTCATTAAGTTTGTGATCGGAAATAAAAAAAAAAAAGTCACTTTCGTACTGTTAAAACAGTGGCAGACAACGTTCATAAGTATAAAAGCCCTGGAGGAATGTAACTAAGTACATTTACTCATTTACTGTAAGTACTTTAACTTGAATATTTCCGTTTTATGATTATTATTTCACAACCACATAGAAGGATATTGTTGGCTATTTTTAGTTAGTTTAGTTAGTTTTCAAATTAAACTTTTTAATTCAAACAGGTGTGTGAATTTCCCCTTGGGGATGAATAAAGTATCTATCTAATCTAATCTATATTGTTTATATAACGTTAGTTGATATTGTGATACAATGTGGAAAAATAAACTGTCCAATAGTGTAAAGTGTATATATACATATATATATGTGTGTATCATTTTAACTATTCTAAATATAAAAAGTAGTTAAAATGAGCTCCACCTTAACAACATTAAACTGCTACTTATTTGTTAATACATTAGTATTAGGGGCTGCCTGCAGTAGCCGTCTGTAGGAACATGGCTTGGGAACCGGAGCATGGACCACAGTATGGCAGCTGGCAGCTTGAGAGGTGCCAGTTCCACCTCCTGTGCACTGCCGAGGGGCCCTTGAGCAATGCACCTTACCCCTTACTGCTCCCCGGGCGCGTAGAGTCGCCCACTGCTCCTGATGTGAATACCATGGGTCAAATGCAGAGCACATTTACATGCTGTAAATGCTGTATATACTGTGAAATGACAATAAAGACTGATATATATAATATTACAATATTTGATATACTTTATATTTAGCTGTTGATCCTTTTAAAGTGCAGCATTGCAACATTTACTCAAGTTAAAGATCTCAGTACGTCTTAGTCCATTGTGACACCAGTTGTGTGAAGATTGCCTCTCTGAAAGAATAAATTGATTTTGTTAACTTTCGTATTTCCAATGGAAGAACATTCAAACATCTAGTTGTAGTCAGTAGATGAAGAGGATGTCTTGCAGTTTGGATTTATATGACTTACTTTAGTAGACGTAAAATTGAAGACAGAGAATTTCTTAGAAGAAATTGGCCACTTTTTTGTATTTAGTGACAGACCTGATTGGATCGATACTTCTGATCAGACAAAGATCGGTGCTTATGTCTTCACTCTGTGGTTGCCTACGTGTATTACAATAAGAGTAACTCAGAATCAGAGGGAAAATGGATTGTACGATGCTTGGATTGTTCTTCTGGAATGTACATTTTATCCATTATTTTTGTCATCTGTAATTACTTATTTATATTTAATGTTAATCTTGGTATGTTTCTCATTTTTTAATCAGTAATGTTGTATTACTGAGGAACATTGTGAATGTTAAGTCCTCTGTCATTCCCAAATGAACAGAGACATAGTGTTGCTCGTGTTAGATCACTGAAGGGAGTTAAAGTTTACCCACCTTTATATGTCCTACAACATTACAACTAATTACTAAATGTTTGCTTAGAACAAATAGTAACTACAGGTGCATCTCAATACATTTCAAAGTTCATTTATTTCAGTAATTCAATTAAAAAAGTGAAACTCTTATATTATATAGATTCATTACACACAGAGTGAAATATTTCAAGCCTTTATTTCTTTTAATTTAGATGATTATGGCTTACAGGTAACGAAAACCCAAAATTCAGTATCTCAGAAATATTTGAATATTTCATAAGACCAATACATTTTAATACAGTAATGTCGGCTTACTCAAAAGTATGTTCATATATATGCACTCATTACTTGGTCGGGGGTCCTTTTGCGTGAATTACTGCATCAATGCGGCGTGGCATGGAGGCGATCAGCCTGTTATGGAAGTCCAGGTTGCTTTGTTGGGTCTGGTGTCTCTCATCTTCCTCTTGACTATAGCCCATATATTCTCTATGGGGTTCAGGTCAGGCGAGTTTGCTGGCCAATCAAGCACAGTAAAACCATGGTCATTAAACCAGGTATTGGTACTTTTGGCAGTGTGGGCAGGTGCCAAGTCCTGCTGGAAGATGAAATCGGCATCTCCATTAAGCTTATCAGCAAAAGGAAGCATGAAGTGCTCTAAAATGTCCTGGTAGATGGCTGCATTAACTTTGGACTTGATAAAACATAGTGGACCAACACCAGCAGATGACATGGCTCCCCAAATCATCTCTGACTGTGGAAACTTCACACTGGACTAAAAGCAACTTGGATTCTGTGCCTTTCCACTCTTTCTCCAGACTTTGGAGGAAGACCTTGATTCCCAAATGAAATGCAAACTTCACTTTCATCTGAAAAGGGGACTTTGGACCACTGAGCAACAGTCTAGTCCTTTTTCTCCTCAGCCCAGGTAAGACGCTTCTGACAGTTGTAGCACATGTCCTGGATACATCTGTGTGTGGTGGCTCTTGATGCTCCAGCCTCAGTCCACTCCTTGGGAAGCTCCCCCAAATTCTTAAATGGATTTTGTTTGACAATCCTCTCAAGGCTGCGGTTATCCCTGCTGCTTGTGCACCTTTTTCTACCACACTTCAACTTTCTATGAATATGCTTGGATACAGCACTCTGAACAGCCAGCTTCATTAGCAATGACCTCTGTGGCTTACCCTCCTTATGGAGGGTGTCAACGACCAAGCCAGCAGTCTTCCCCATGATTGTGTAGCCTACTGAACCAGACTTAGAGACCCTTAAATGCTCAGGAAACCTTTGCCGGTGTTTTGAGTTAATTAACTGATTAGAGTGGGACATCGTGAGTCTACAATATTGAACTATTACTAATATTCTAATTTTCTGAGATACTGAATTTTGGGTTTTCATTAACTCTGTGTGTAATGAATCTATATATGAGTTTCACTTTTTGAATTGAATTACTGAAATAAATTAACTTAACCATGATATTCTAATTTATTGAGGAGCACCTGTATATACATCATGTTACCTTTAAATATGCAATAAAATGTAATTTAAACTGTACATTTACCATGTAAATTACTGAAAAGGCCCAATTGTAATACAGTTGGTGGTAGAAATTGCTTAACTGCTGCACAAGTTAAGGCATTAGATACCAATATAGATATATTAAAAGCCAGACGAAGGCAGGAACTGAGGCAACTGATCAAAGACAGCCATAACATTAATGCGGCACGCACGTACAACGGAGTGAATCACACATCATTTAATCAGATCTGACAAACAGTAATGACTTTATTCGGTTTAAGAAAGCTGGTCAAAATCTAGTTATGTCACTCACATCACACTCAACAAACAACACTTTCTTTGGGACTCAAGAAAAATCTGGATGACGGCTTCAGAAAGGTTTCCAAAACACTGGATCCCTGGCTTGCACTCATATCGTTTGATCCTCCAGTGGCATGCAATTTGATGGACAATTTACACAGGTATGTAACTACATCTTGACCAGACATTTCCACATAGACTTTTTTTTTTTTAAATCTACAATCATAAATATCCATTTTCTACAGCCCCATAGGGGTAAAATTGCCCTCTCAACTTGTAAAAATCAATTAAAGTGTTCCCAGTTAGTGTTCGCTCTTCTTTTCCACAGAAGCCCTTTTTTGTGGAAAAGGACACGAGAGGTTTTCATCCCCACTTCAACATGGAGTTTGTTCTTCTGAGCCCTCCTAGGCCAAGACGGCCTCCTTCCATAAGTCATTAAAGTAGGAGTCTCTCTTCTGCTTCAGTGCTTCTAGGAAGTCCTGGATTCGTTCTTCCCGACAGGCGGTGTAGTGCAGCAGTGCCTCTTGTCTTCTCTGGGCGTCGGCAGGCTTTCCATTCCCATGATGCTGCAGGTGCTCTGCTACACAGGCCCGATCCGCCTCTAGCTGCTGTAAGGCCTGATGCTCTCGATGGAAGTCTCTGGCTTTCTAAAATAGAACACCCATTCAAATTCCAATTAGTCACGTAAAGTAGGAATTACTTTATTTGAACATTTTAAATTATATATTTCTTATTTGTTTTGGTGACAACAATGTAGATGCATATTGAAATCACAATGCTCATTTCATGCAGACAGTACACATTAAATGAAAGATGGTAGGCAACACAAACTGTTTGATCAAGTAATACAGCCTAAGATATGTAATATGTAAGAAGCAGCAGTGCTAATTTGACTCATTAAGGGGTTTGAATCCTGGGATATTTGGTAGAAATGAATGCTGTTTCACCTAGCTGACGCCATAATGATGATGTAATAAGCCTTTGCTGCATTGCAACAACACATGCTATAGTTTGTAATGTAACTATAGTAATAATAATGTAAGTTTTATGTTTAGGTTTTGTGCCAGAATAACTAATGACATGTAGTGGTTGCACAAAATAATATTAACATCTTACAATACAGTAACCCAACTGTAAATATATGTTTGATAAAGCTGGCAATGTTGATGATTGTTGATTTAGTCATTTTTGAGGCAATCCTGTTAATTATCTTTCAATAATGTTGATGAATATACCATATAATAATATTGATGATCAGTTATTCCTCATTAGCCAAAACAGTCTTCCTGCATTTGAATATGTTTTCATGATTTTCTTTTATGTTTCTCTCCTTTCCACATTACATCATTTTCTGACTATTTTCAAGTGACACACACACACACACACACACACACACACACACACACACACACACACACACACACACACACACACACACACACACACACACCACACACACACACACACACACACACACACACACACACACACACACACACACACACACACACACACACACCTGGAATACCAATCAGAAGTATGGTTTTATTTGTGAGTTTTCAAATCGACATATGGCAACTAACTGAGGTTCAGGGAGACCAGATAGACGATGTGACTGTATGCTTTAGTATTGACTGCCTC